ACTACTGTACGTCGGGACAAATTCTCTCCTGTTTGCCTAGCGCACCCGCTCATGTTGCAAGTCAAAAAAAAAAAAACAAGCACGACAGGCAGCGCACCGCAAAAAACTCAAACAACCGTTACCACAGCTGTAACCCCTGTCCTCACTACTGTACGTCGGGACAAATTATCTCCTTGTCTGGCGCACCCGCTTCGATGTTGCAAGAAAAAAAAAATACAAGCACGACAGGCAGCGCACCGCAAAAAATCAAACAACCGTTACCACAGCTGTAACCCCTGTCCTCACTACTGTACGTCGGGACAAATTATCTCCTTGTCTGGCGCACCCGCTTCGATGTTGCAAGAAAAAAAAAATGACATGCACGACGGGCAGCGCACCGCAAAAATCAAACAACCGTTTTTTTAGTGCCACAGCTGTTCCCCGCCCTTACTCCGTAGCAACAAACTCCCTCATGTCTGCCTGGCGCACCCGCCTCTTGGAATGCGCTGCAATCATCGCCATCTTCGCTTTCGCTAGGTAGAGCGCCGCGTCTCCATTGCCGCTCTCCTCTGCTGCCGCTTCCAGGACGCCGAAGTGAGACGACAGTTCACCATAAGCCGGTGGGACACGGCGCGCGAGCCCCGTGTTGTCATCGCCGCTGTCCTCCTCCTCGTCCTCCTCCTCGCGGCCGGTAGACACTCGAGTCCCAGCCAGCTGTGCCGTCATGTCTTCCACCTTGATGGCCTCCTTGTTGACGCTACCAGCCTCGCCATGAAGTCTCACGCTGTCGATGCTGTTGCGCTTCACGAAGTTCCTGGCCCACCTTTCGCCGGCCTTGAAATCCTCGACTCTCGCCTTCACTTCCGTAGAAGCTGCTGGATCAGCCAGCAGGGTTGCCCTGGCGGCACGGCCGAAGCTTCGAAGGACGTCGCGCGTGACGGGCATCTTGGTCTTCCGGGCTTTCTCTAGTAGGTCAAGAGCTATGGCGTCCACCTATTGACCGTCAAACGAGGAGTAAGGCGCGGGAACTACGCGTATTTTTTTAAAACAACAGCAGAGTAGCGCACCTCCGGATTATTGCCTGTGCGCACGTTTTTCTTGCTTCCTCCGCGTCCTGCAGCAGCCTCGGTCTCGTACTTCTTCCTGTTCTTCTTCACATCCCGGACCAACCGTTCCGAGCACTTGAAGCGATCTGCTAGCTGCTCATGAGTCACCTTCTGATCCATCAGCTTCAGCATCTCACACTTGGCGCTGAAATCTGGCCGCGCACGAGGCTGAGACTTGTTACTCCCCCCATTCGTGGCCTTCGGACGTTTAGATTGTGCCTTCCCAGTGCTGTCTGCTGCTGACACTTTGCGCTTGCCGGCTTTGGCGACGCACGCGCTGCAGATGCGGTGATTCTCGTTGCCTACATCAACCACACTGCCGCAAATGCCGTGCAGTCGCCCGCCACATCCTCCCTGGCAGCCGTGACCATGAGGGTCTTGTGGCGTGGTGTAATATAGTTGGCACAGTTCACCTTCCGCACAGGGCATGGTACGCCCCTGTGTAGAGCTGTTCGGGTCTGCAGCAGCACGTGTACCCTATTTCTGTGTGTGGAGTCTATGTTTTCTGCCCTGGGTTGTGCGTGTGTGTGTTTCGCGCGTGCGGAGTACCGGCACTATTGGGGGTGACAGCAGTGCCGAACCGGCACTATATCGGGCATGCTTTAATTAGTGCCGGTCTGGCACTATTGAGAGCTCCGCCTGTGTGCAGAGATTTTACCGGCACTATACCGGGCATCTGGCACTATTCAACCGGCACTAAAATGGTCCCTCGACTGTATTGCACGACATTCGCGCACGCGCACATCAGACCAGCGTTGGATACAACGCAGCCGTTGTCGAGTAC